ACAACATAGCCCCTGGGATCCCTGGGACACACAAACCCCTCTACCAAGATAAGGTAGCGATTCAAGGAGGTTCTTTTGTGTATCCATGGATACACAAAAGAACCAACAATGCAAATGGAAACAAGCAAGGCCAAAATGAGTCTTTGAATGTGGAGTTTGTCTTTATGCAGACTAACAATAGGACTGATAAACCTTGTAAGTCTTCTGTTTTGGTTGTGGTGATGAACACATGCTTTGCACCAAATACAACTTAAATATGTGAGAAAGAACGCACAGAGAGCTCATTGCTGTTTAACATTTTCACTTTGCATCATTGGCACACTGTTTGATAGACTAGAAATTATTCTGTCCTGCTTTTAATGTGGAAGCATAGAAAACAGGCCACATGTTTAACTCGTTCCAGGCCTAATAAAACCATAATTAAAGTCCTTTTGCTCAGATGGGAGGTTGAAATTTCATGTAATTTCACCCCTAATTACTATTGCACAGATTTCGATTGCAAATGACATTCCTATGTTTTGGGTTAGTGGGGGCAACATGAGCAAGCATTTGGTGGTCTGGCCTTAGCCCGCGGGGCCAGCCATGCTCAGCCCGAACGAGCCACATGGTTGTACCCCTTCACACAGGAGGGGCTGCAGGGGACCAGTGCGCTGTGGACCAGGCAGCAGCTGAGGGTGGACGTATTGGTGATCCAACCCCCAGTTGCTGAAACTGGTTTTAGATATATGTGACGTCCACTTTTTGGTGGGAGAGCGCCCAAACTGGTGTTTGAGGGCGAGAGACACTGGTCCCACCTGATGACTCGACTGTCTTACTGGTGTTGAGGTTTACATTTATAATCTTAAATGCTTATATGCTGATTATATTGCTTTATATAAGAAAGGCCTAACTCTGAGTACACTCTGTGCCAAAAGTGCTGACAGGAAACTGTATGCGTTTGCAGAAGCGTGGTAACTGCAGTAGAAAGTGAAACCAACTAGGCTGTTTGATCGAAACGTAAAGTGTGGTGTGACGTAGAGCGCAAGTGTATAAATACCTAGGCTTCTGTTTGTGCTTCAGACCTGGGGTTGTGTGTTTTGTGTTCAGGACCACTTCTGAGCTGTGTCTTTTTGGCCGTAAAGAATACAAAAGAACCGAATTTAATACTGGGAAACTTTAACACTAATGTGGAGGGGATGTGACTGCAGGGACTGACATGCTCAGCCGTGAAGCAGAGTGTTTTCTATCCAACATCCAAGATTCACCCTGACTTTCCCAACTTTCTGTTGCAGTTTGCATGGCTGACACGCATCTGCAACACTGCAAGGACACTGCCTCTGGACTGGCTGACCCTCTTCAAGAGGGTGTACCAGAGAGTGTGCTGCAACTTTTGGGCCTCAAGCTTCTCAGCCCCCTGGGAGGATGTATGCCAGAGAGTTGGAGAGGATCTATTAGTCAAACCTCAGATTCGAAAAGGAAAGGAGCCATTTCAGGCATCTAACCAGGATGCTTCCTGAGCACATCCTAGGTGAGATTTGCTGGGCATGTCCCACCAGGATGAGACCGGGGAGCAAACCCAGGTCAGACTGGAGCAATTACATCTCCTGGCTGGCTTTTGAACATCTTGGTGTCCCCCAGAGGAGCTAGGAAAGATGGTGGAGAGAGGGAGGTCTGGGCTCTGTTTAGACTGTTGCCCCCGTGACCTAGATACGTGACAGAAAATGTACGGATTGATGGATAATAAATCTGAAGAAGCTGATTAGTACAACACAATTCTCAGAGAAGAAGCAAACATAAAGGGAAATGTGAAGACTCAAAAGAAACGAGTTGGTGTACGTTTGAATCGTTTTTGAAAAGTTGTGTAATAATTACCTGGTGATGCTATAAAGAAAACAACATAAGGGAAAATGTTATGATGCCAGTAACAATGTTGCCATCGGAAATCAAACACTGAACATGACTGTGTGCATGTATGAATGAAAACATGCTCGTGGCTTCAGAATAATCTCTTATATCTGTTAGTGAGACATACCTTGGCTCATCCCACTGCCCACATTGTCAGAGGGGCTGAAGCCATTCTGTGTGGTCTGGGTGCCCAGGTCCACCATCTGGTGGAGGCGGAGCTTGCGGCAATAGATCGATGCTGCTTCAGGTTCTAAGGCGATGATCAGCTGCTCAGGGTTTTCCCGGGATACCAGACCAGACTAGACAAGAGCATGCACAACACAATACGCTTCAGCTTTAAAGGACAAGAAAAGGTTTCTTTTGTCTTTTCAGCTTCTTCTACTGTGTCCACATGTAGTATACACTGAGGTACCCCGTGTTTGCTGAATTATTAGTCACAACTGTACCTCACCTTTGACCCTGTGACAGGTGGGATAGGTTACAGCCCCCTAAGAAAATGGGGTTTTCTCTTTTAATCTACAAGATCATCCGGTCTCTTATGCTTTGTCACAATTAAAATATTTACAATTAAAACCTTCCTCTTTTTAGTCTGACACTTTAACTATTTCACAATTTAGCGTATATAGAAGTTTTTCTTCTGGTTATTCGTACATGACTACATCACTCATGACGAGAGCTGCAACAATTAAAAATCCACTATTTGTTTTCACTGATGCCTAATAAACCCTTTATGGACTGGTCACTAGACAAGCATATGGATTTTTAAATAGAAAAACACACCATCAAGAATAAAAGTTTAAAAAACAAAAGCCAGAACACAAAGCTGGAACAAACACTCTGTGGAAACGTAACACTCTCTGCTTTGCCTTTCATTAGCTTTAGCAGTAAGACCTGTAACAGCGTTAAAGGTTTAGCATAAAAACCTCTCTGACAGACTCAACACCAACTTACAACAATATATTGACCAGAAAAAGAAAATACAGCCACCCACCCCCACTAGGTGATGTAACTGATCAGTGGGGACCAGAGAGAAACAAAGTCATTGGTTTTTTGAAAAAACAAAAGTTTCCTCCTGATTAATTTGATCATGCAGTAAAATTCTATATATATGGACACATAAGCAGTTTTTTGGTTTCCAGTTCATCAGAACAGTTTTCTTGGCAATGTATAAGGAAGTAAGGAGTATAAATGATGTATTTGCTTCCATGTCTAGCAAAGACATCATTCTAAATTGAATTCTCTTTCTAGAGAGAATTCAATTTAGCTGGTGAGCCTCACCCAGCCTCACCAGCTGGGTGAGGCTGGGATACCATACCTAAACCATGTGTCTTCACATATTCACTGCCAGAGCATTTGGACAGGCGTGCAGGACCATATAACACGGACACAGCTTGCAGCACAGTTGCTGCAGGCTGCTCACCCACACTTCAGAGAGGGCTGATGTGGTCTGGGTCTGGGACTTGCTGACTCCTTACTGCGCCCTAGTTTGTGGTCTGGGATGGCTCAGTCTCTTCTACGTGGGAGGTGGATCTGCTTGGTGTTGGGTGGTTTTTGGGCACCTGCAGCCCCGTTCATGCTGGGATGGCTGGCCTATGGCAGGGTGGGCTGCCCCTTGCCTCTGGTCTTCTAGGGCTCTTGATCTTTAGCCATGGTGCTTCATCTGGGCCTCCCTCTTCTTAGTCCTGGGGTGGACACGAAGTTGTCATTGTGATGTGTAGCCTCGGATCAGTACTCTATGGTCTCCTGGGTCCTGTGGCTCCTGGTTGTGTTATTGCAGCTTCTCACTCTCACTATAAGGATGTCAAAGACATCTACACAAACACTCACACATGTTTGTTGCACATTCTTTCCAGGTCTGTTTGCTGTTGTATATATGCAGCCGTTGGCGACTCATTTCACTTTCTTATTAGTGCACCTATCTTGGAGTGGAGCTAAAAAAGCAAATTCATGTATTTATAGATTATTTAATTGATCATCATCACTACCAGAGTACTTCAGTCTCAGACCGCAGTTGTACTTCTGGTTTTTAGGATTTTTAAAATTAGAATGGGAGGCAGAGCTTCCAGTTTCCAGTTTGGATTAGTGAAACAGGCACACACTCAGCTTTAAAGCTTTCCTTTTAGTTAGTGCTGACTGACCACCTTAATGCTCCAATAGGCTTAGGCTGCTGGCAGGCTTCCCATCATACACTGAGCATTTGTCCTTCACTCACCTGTTTCGACACCACTTTATTTAATCATGAGTAAATATTAAACTCTTGCTCTTTTTCCCATAGGCCGCCTTTTGTCCTCACTCTCTCTGCTCTAGTTGTTTTATCCTCACCCCCAGCGGGTGCCTCAGTCTGGTTCTACTGGTGTTTCGTTCTTCTTATAGGGGAGTTTTCCTTCCCACTGTTGTTAAACACTGACTTAGAGACTTAGAGCTTTTTATTGTCATTGTGCAGTTTCTTGCACAGCGAAATTGGGTAGCTGGACCACAAAGGTGCAAAAGAAAGAAGAGAAAACAAAATACAATGAGGGGAAAAATAATATAAATAAAATAAAAAGGTGGATGGAACATTGTTTGATTATCTCTCTAACAATATGCCGAACTTTAAATACAGAGTTCATTGAGGTGCCTTGTGTTGTGAATCAGGACTATAAGAATAAAACTGAACTGAAAATAAATCTGACTACAGCCGTCCCAAGTTAAATACAATAAAGTTCAATTAACAACTTTTTCTACTCACAGGAAGCAACAGGCCAAGGAATGCAATGAATGCATAACATGGCGATTATACAAATCTGCAATCAAGAGTGAAGAATGTGCTGTGACTAATGCTGCACATTAGCTGTGATATGAAGCAGTGATTAAGAACTGCTGGTGAGGAATGACACGTGCAGTGTAAGCACAGAACAGAAAACTGCAGCTGTTACAAATCACAGTCCACCAAAACAAAGATGAAAGTGATAACGACTGCATCTCACATTTGTGTCGTTGTTCACATTTCCTTTAGTTTTCTTTCCTTACTTCATCTCATGGCTACTTTAAATGCACAAAATCAGCCGCTCTGCTTTGAACAGAAAGTCCAGAGAAGCTGCACTGAAGCAGTTAGAGACGAAAGCAGTGGCTTTACTGTAACTAATGCTGCCACCAATTAAAAGCAGCTGCTGACATGTGGAAAATGTAGGAGCTGAGTGGCACAGTGGAAACCAAATTTGTACTGACCCAAACTTAGTGATCTCCAGCAGGGCAACAACTTTCCCTTCAGCTAACTTTTACTTGGACAGCTGCAGCACATGTGTCCAGCGCATGTGCCAGGCGCATTCAGCCATGGTAAATGGACTGATTCTCATACAGCGCTTTTCTACTCAGCACTTCACACAACTTACCTCCTTCACTTTTTAATACGCTGTTTCAAATGTCTAACATTTACGTTCCCTGATGGCATCAGAAAAACGTAGGAATAGTACCTTGCCCGAGATATTTGGCATGCAGACTGGGATCAAACCACTAACCTTCTGGTTAGTAGGTGACCTGCTCTACCACCTGAGCTACAGCCATACGACGGGTTTGGCAGTCAGAGACAAACATGATGCCGTGGTATCAACAAAGACTCTTACAGATCTTGTAAATGTCACCTGAAACAAATTTAATACCAAAAGTCTGCTTTGTAAGAATTTCCATTTAGTGGTTTGAACAGTTAAGACTTGTTTCAACCAAGCAGTTTGTTGTTAAACTTCAATTTTCCTCATCATCTTCAGGGTTTCCAACAATGTATTTCAAGTCTGACTTGAGCTAATTTATCATCTAAGCATAACATTAAGAAGATGTTTTTACAGATGCAAAGCCTGAAACACTGGTTTTATAACACATGGTCTCAACAATGCATTCAGACGTTGTCCTCTAAATGTGCAAATTTAGTTAGAAGACCTAAATGCCATGTTGCAATACTATACTGCTATGGTAGCCAACGTTTTAAATGCAAGTTTGACAGATTTGTGAGTGTACACTTTATCCAAAACCTAGTGACGGTTTACTCATCATTGCCAGTGGGTAGCTGTAGCTCAGGAGGTAGAGCAGGTCACCTACTGATCGGAAGGTTAGTGGTTCGATCCCTGACTCCTCCAGTCTGCATGTCAAGAGTGTGAATGTGCATGGATGTAGTTAGGAAGCACTCTGTTTAGAGAAAATTATGTGACTGGGTGAATGTGGCATGCCGTACAGAGCACTTTGAGTAATCTGGGACACTAGAAAAGTGCTATATAAGAGTCAGTCCGTTCACTGTCTGAACAGAGTTTCGTCATGTTACTTTTGCACTATTATGTTCCGGCAGATGTCTTGGTTAAGCTACACATTAGGCTGACATCTGGGGCCAGAGCTGAAACTGGTCTGGGCCAGCACAGGGCCAGCAGTGTGTCTGCAACTGGCCCGTGGCTGCACACAACTTACACATGGCCCATATACCGCAAAGAATGACGGCCCTTTGGTGGCCCAGATCAGGTTTGCCAGAGGTAATCCACACATGGGCCAGCACAGGACCACCAGCGTGTCTGCAACTGGCCTTGTGCTGGCCCATGTGTTGGCCACCTCTGGCAGACCAGATCTGGGCCTCCAAAGGGCCGTCATTCTTTGCGGTATGTGGGCCATGTGTAAGCACATTGTGTGGGCCAGATCGGGGCCATACCAATTTTGCTATGTGGGGGACACCCAACATCTTCTAAGTGAGGTGTTTTTGCCATGTCCAGCTGGCAGGAGGATTTTTATAGATTCGGGACACATTAGAGTAATTATATCTCTGGAGTGACCTCAGTGTACCCCAAGAAGAGCTCCAGGAAGTGGCCAAGCAGAGGGAGGTCTGGATATCTGTGATTAGATTTTAGCCCTTGTGACTGGGAACCCAGATAAGCAGCAGAACATGGATGTATGGATTTACAGGTATGGACACAACGACACTCAACAGTACTTCTACTTAATGTTAAAATCACCACTACATTTGTGGGTGAGTGGGGGAAGAGTCTACCTTGTAAGCAGCTTCCCTCATGAACTGCTTTGCAGGCATTTTCCAGATGGCAGGAACTGTGATCACCCATCTGACATCACTGTTGTCAAACTCGCCGCCTGTCTGATCACTCAGCTCCTGTTGAAAGAACATTTAAACGCGCCATTTAAATGGTAAATGGCCTGTATTTATATAGCGCTTTACTAGTCCCTAAGGACCCCAAAGCGCTTTACATATCCAGTCATCCACCCATTCACACACACATTCACACACTGGTGATGGCAAGCTACATTGTAGCCACAGCCACCCTGGGGCGCACTGACAGAGGCGAGGCTGCCGGACACTGGCGCCACCGGGCCCTCTGACCACCACCAGTAGGCAACGGGTGAAGTGTCATGCCCAAGGACACAACGACGAGACTGTCCGAGCCAGGGCTCGAACCGGCAACCTTCCGATTACAAGGCGAACTCCCAACTCTTGAGCCACGATCGCCCATAATCCTTATGCATTTCAAGTTGCTATACATCAATACAACCATTATAGCCCAAATTTTAATAATATGTATGCATTAAGTGCATAGTAATTACATAAATTGCAAAAAAGTGCAATAAACTACAAAAAAATTGAAAATCATTTTTTGTTTTTTTAACATATATTTCTAGTTAGAGAAATTTAAGAGGCTTATCCCTCAAAACTGTAAATACAAAAAAGTTGCACAAACTAGTTTCCCACCACAGGAAATTTCTTTTGAGTGTCTTCATAGTTTTATTTTTGAAATAAACCAATTTTCATATGCTGCAGGAAAAACGAAAATAAATATTATAATGCAAATTTGCAAAATAACAGCATATGCATCAAAATAAACTATTTCCAGCAGTGCAATATGAGTCCAAAGCATCCCAGAAATGACACAGAAAGTCATAAAGTCAAACATAACTTTTAAAAACACCACTATAGGCTTATGAGGCCTTGATGGTAAAAAACTACATTTCCGCAAAATGACGTCACTTCCGCTTTCGGGCAGGTCATGGCGGACATGCGACAGTTCACGCTAATGGACGTAGGAAGTGTTACAAACAGCTGATCGGATCGGCAAAGCGTGTTTCTGGAATATTATGTTTTTGTTGCTGCAAGTGCTTTTTATGCAGTTTTTGCAAAGCTATATGTGGAAGGAAACCGTGACCGAGGACAAGCTGATGGCATAAGATCTAAGTACAACTCCTCCGGTTTCATATGCAAAAAAAATTATTGTGCTTGCTTACGTGGTTGCAGTGCTACCGGAATTTAAAAATAGTTACGCAAAATGGAGCGTGCCCGCTCCGACCGGCTTTAAAGGGTTAAATTCTACACATCTTCCAATGTTTGTCAACAGAAGCTTAATCAAAGGAGAAAATATTACTTTGCATGAGTAAGAGAACAGAAAACATGTGTTACCTTCAGTGCTTGTTCCTTAAAGAAAGCCAACGCATAGGCAAAGATGTCCAGAGCTTTGACACGCTTCCCATTAGCTGCATGGAGGTCAGTGTTGATGGACAGGTTCTGATTGCAGAGAGAAGACATCACAGTCAATATATCACTGCTAGTTTCTTTTCTATTCCCTTTGTGGATTGTCCACACGCATCTACTACCACGCCACACTGTACAATCTACTCCATACATTCTTAACGACCTCTCATCCATGACCAATTTAGACGTATCAGTTATTGTAACATGCATGAGTCACGGGTAAACATCTAAACTTGACAAAAACAGCTGGGGTAAAAAAGTGTCTGTCTGTGAAGTGACACCAACTATTCTGACACTGAAGGACTCACAGCCATTGGATGCACTCAGTTTCATAATGTATGTAAAAAAAGGTCTATCAGATGTAACAGCATGTTTCAAGTAGCCACATATTTAAGCTCATGGTGGGCTGAATGGCAGTGGTCTTTTTTTGGATTTTCAAACTTCACATGGCTCACGTCTGTACCTGTACTTGCTGGGAAAAAAATAGAAAGTGAAACATTTTGACATATCCCTATAGTGGGCCTATAACTCAGAAAACTCCTAATCATAATAATATTGTACAAAAAACAAGCCGATTATGAGAGACTCAGATGGAGGGACTCCCTGAATATCCACGTAATGATCCTTTTACTTCAGTAACTGTTGACTGTGGGAGAAAAGTGTGTTGTAATTATGAGCAGTAACGGGCTCTGAGCCAAAAGCCATTGGCAGAAATACAGAGCACAGCAAAAATATTTGCCCCCTGGTTATCTCTTTATTTTTGCATTTCTCACACTATGTTAGACACGTTAGCCGTTGATGTTAACGCAATTTAGTATCCAGTATACAGAACTGTTTTCTGTGAAAAACAAAGTGAAGGTGCGCCCAACTTATTTGAACCTTTGGCTTCTATAATATGTGGTTCTATAGGGCTCTGGAGTTGACGTAAAGCCGCAATGCATTGTGGGAGCGCGGCACTCTTTTAGCAGGCCATGAATCAAAACAAACACAGATTTCAGCACAAGACCCCTGCTTGGTTTTGCTGGCGTGCAGGGAGAGTCGCAGCTTCAGTGATGCATGTGAACACAAATTTTCCAGAACTCGGAGCATCTCCAGACGGACTCACAATGTGTGACTGTTGTGGGAAGATGTATCTGGAGATTAACTGTCCACAGCATTAAGCAGGCATTGGCTGCACAGGACACAAACTTCTGCCTTCGGCCACAAAGAGAGTTTGCTGTGATACGCATCTTCCCTGATGTGGATTTCTGGGAACCGCGTTTGAAGAAAGCACAAGACTTCTTCCAAAAAGTGTGTCCTCCTGAACTAGTGGGAAAATATTTCTCAAAAGAAGGGCTGCTCTAAATAACCAATAGTGTTTTATTTTGTGGGTCACGATTGATGCCAGCTGTGCGTAGCCATGTTAATAGTTTGCATTTCAAGTACATCTGAACAAGTCTTGAATAAAAAAACCAAAAAACATATGTCCTTTCCGTTTTATTGAAAGCACTTCATAGAAAGTTACATGGGTTACAATGAACTGTACAAACAACACAGCATTTTAAAGAATATTTAATAAGAGCAAGTTTCATTTCACCGAGGTTTGACAACCACACTTGGGCACATATTTACCAAAATGCAGCAAATCTTAACTATCTTATCCAGCAGCACACCAACAGAAATCTATGGTAGAGAACTCCATATCAGCTCGTCTCACCGCTGCTATCCAGGCCTGACGTCTTCTTTTGGTAATATCCGATACATGTGATGCCTGACGTTGCTTCTAGAAGGGGAAACGATAAAAAGAGAGCCCATTTTCCAGCTTATTCCCTTCCCGATTGTGCGATCTAACACTACAACCAACAACACGCCAAGTACGAACCATGGCTCACATTATCCGTGTGCTTTCACCCTTTGTTTGGCATGTTCAAATGGCCCCTTGACCAAAACTCCTGGCCACGCCCCCTCCCGTGACATCAGGCTCCAAAGCCCTATTGCATGCAGTGTACATAACCTAATGTCAGCTAGATCAATATTAAAATGTATAATATTGTTAAAGTCACTAAAATTTGTGACGTGAGCTCTATGTCTGTTTGTGAAACTCAGAAATTCAGTAGAGCTGATATGTAGCTATATTAAATATTCACATAAGTATTTTAAATGTATAGAAATGTTTTAAATGAATGAAGGTGTGTCTTTGACCGTTATTGTGTAACTTACTTTCAGACTAGTTGATCATAGGGGATAGACATAGGGGATTTCTGAGGATTTCTCCTGTTTCTTTCCTTGTTTTTACTTCTGTTGATTCTTCTGATTCTTTTCCAGTTGCTGACCAAACACAAAACCATCCACTGAAGTGCACCATACTTCCCAGCTGACTGGCAAGTTAGGGATTCATAGTTTTCGAGATTAGCTTCTGATTCTGATCTTTTCCATATCTCTCGAGGAATACTGGATTTAGGTGAGGAGCGTTCTGCAGCAACTACTGGGAAATCGTTTATATGTGAAAGCAGAAAAACGTAAGTTTCATGCCACCACTGTCTCATTCATGGGTCACATTTTGGCCAGGGGGCAGGTGACGTCCCAGAGTTTCGAAAACAGCTCCAGCGTTTTCTAGTGTTTGCCAATTCCCACAGGTAATTCATAAGAAACTACAGCCAAGTCGCCGCTCCGCTCCCTTGGTTCGCTTCACTCAAGGTACCGTTCACCTGGTCCTCCCACCACCTGGTTGGTGTAGGGGCATACTGTCTCACAGGTCTGATCCCCAAGGCAAACTCCAGCCGAGCGCCTTTTTCTCCCACCGCAGAACAAAATTATGATGTGGGAAATATCCGTTGGGTTATGGATGTGCAGAGTTGCCCCAATGGATAACCGCTGTTATCTATTGGGCCCATTGGGTTATCCAAGGTTCGTGTGCCACCCAGGAGTGAGAAAGACAATAACTTTTCTCAGACAACATTTCTGGTGGCCATCCCTAAACAAAGATGTGAGAGAGTCTGTTGCCATTTGTCCTGCCTGCGCCTGTAACAAGTCCTCCACCAAGCACCTCAGGCCTACTCCACCCATTAACCACACCAATCCAGGGCGCATGCGCACGCAGCGACCGGCAGTGAGCGAGAGCTTGGCATCCTAAGTTTTTAAGTGTTTAAGTTCTTATCGTTTCTTTTCGTTTCTATCGCTGGCATGTGTTTTGGTTGAAGGAAGTGACAGTTTTCTTACAAAGTGACACACGCTCCACAACAGTGAGAACGTCATGGATTCTTTTTTCTTCATTGTGGTTGGATTTCTACTGTGCTGGCTTGTTTCCGATGATGTGGGCGAGGCCGTGAGTCAGCTGAGGATTGTTTGCTCCCGCGACGAACTGTTAAAACTTGATGGTAAGGACCTCACCTCATGTATGCCGGATTTTATACATAGATACTCTAACAGAACGAGTGAGAAGAGGAAAAGAGGGAGACGTGGAGGTGTTAAATTGCGTCTGAGGAGACAACAGGTCAGTCGGTTTCCCCTGCCGTCTGTTATCCTTGGAAATGTTCAGTCTCTTAGGAACAAGCTGGATGAACTCCAGGGAAACGTCAGGTTCCAGAAAGACTTCAGGGACAGCTGAGTGATGGCTTTTTCCGAGACATGGCCGACGGAGCTGGACCAGGACGCCGATTTTTCAGTTGACGGTTTTGGAGCTCCCTTTCGCCGGGATCGGGATGCACAGGTAACAAGGAAATCTCAAGGAGGGGGAGTATGCTTGTATGTGAACAAACGTTACTGTAGCGCTGTGACTGTTAGAGAGTGTATTTGTACACCAGATGTTGAACTTTTATCCGTGTCACTGCGCCCTTTTTATCTCCCTCGTGAGTTTCCACAACTTTTTATTACCATAGCTTACATTCAGGGCTCACCCCGCCTCCACCTGCAGCATCATCTCAGACGTAGTGCAGAAGCTGCAGGCGCTTTCTCCTGACGCCCAAACTTTATAATGGGGGACTTTAACCATGTCTCTCTTGAATCAACTTTGGGCAATCTGTATCAATATGTATCCTGTCCTACCAGACGGGATAAAATGTTGGACCTTTGTTACGGATCGGTGAAGAATGCTTATAAATCCCTCCCGCTTCCTCCTCTGGGATCTTCTGACCATAACTGTGTGCATCTCCTGCCCATCTATAAAACGGTCTTAAAACGAGAGAAGACAAAGACTAAGGATGTTGACATATGGTCAGAAAAATCTGTGCTTACAGATTGGGAAGTTTTTATTCAGTCTTGTGGAGATGATCTTGACGCTTTGGTGGACGTTACTAGCTCTTATGCAGTATTTTGTAAAGACATGATTATACCCCGTAAGCGCGTTAAAGTCTACGCTAACAATAAGCCATGGGTCACTAAAAGCGTCAAATCCTGTTTAAGGAAAAAGAGACAGGCCTTTAAAGAGGGGGCTGTTACCGATTTTCAGACAGCCACCAAGGAAATGAAAATCGAGATCTTGAAAGCAAAACAGAGCTACAAAAACCTTCTTGAAAGCAAATTTGCTGCAAAAAATTTTGGGTCTGCCTGGACTTGTATGAAAACCATAGCAGGGTTTCAAACTCCTCAGAGCAGCAGTCAGGTCATTTTAGATGGTTTTAATTCAGACAGAGATTTTGCAAACGCTTTAAACATGTTTTATGCTCGTTTTAGTTCTTCTGATTTTAGCGAGGATATTTCTGAACTGAAACAGAAACTGAGAGATACTCAGCACTTTATCATTGAACTCAGCGATGTTAAAAAGGCCTTTCGTACAGTCAATGTGAACAAGAGCCAGGGTCCTGATAATATTAGTGGCCGCCTAATTAAATCTTGTGCTGATGAACTCAGTCCTATATTTCAGGTTATTTTGAACAAATCCTTGCAAACACAACATGTGCCCTCTCTTTG